GACATAACATTTACTTAATGTTTAATTTTTTTACACATATTTAATTGGTTGCACTAAATTTATTTTGAGCTTTTTCTATAAACTTATTCTGTAGAAAAATAATTCAATCTTACTTTAACATAAAAGGTGTAAAATTTATGTATTGTTACAATTAATTTCATTTTTTCATTACACTAGGGGGTAGTAAGTTTCCATTTATGTAACTATAAAGATAAATCAATGACAAGTTGGCTTAAAACGAGATCACTTGTTAATCTAACATAATTATAAAAATAATTATTATTGCTTAGGCTTTGCTTTTATTATTGATTTATACAACAATTTTAAAGATATTACAAAATTTTAAATAAATGCCCACTATCAACTAGAGCCCGTTTAGTAACATCGAAATCGGCTGAATCGGCCGATTCTACTGAAATTTATAAAGTTCTGACTGAAGTGACTGTATTGGTTGTTTCTGTTGATTATGAAAAAAAATATTTAAAATATATTATATTAATAAAATAAAGAAGAAATGATATGAAAAATAGATAAAATGGCCATCTACAACAAATTCAGTCCGTACAGCCTTAAAAGTAACTTCAACCTTATTTTTTCTTATTATTACATAATTCAGCGCGCAAAATCAAAAGTTACATGTTTGGTTAAAAAGTTGGTTGATAAGCCTGATAAGCCGAAAAACAGAGTCACTAAATGGGCACTAAAATTTTATTAAGTTAATGTCCTCTATCAACTAAAAATAATGGGCATGCATACGAGAAATCAAATTTAAAAAGCCTACTTTTGAAAATTTCGATCCAATTACTTCGCATTATTTTAATTGGATTTTTATTTCAAATATATTCATTAGCTTTGTTTCTATTTTATACAATTACCAATTTTTTTGTGTAACTTTAAAGACTTTGTTATTGGACTGATTTTAGTCTTAGATCAAATCACATCAAGCCAAATTATGCGATTATGGCTCAAGCGACCGAATTTGCTATATTAGGAAAGAATGATATTTAAATTATATGTTATAAGAAAGATATGAAAAAAAGTCATATGAAAAAGTGGCTAAGATGATGCTCTACGGTAACTTCAGTCATTTCGCCGAAAAATGTTTTTAACTTGCTTATTTTAATTATTACAAATTCAGTGCGTAAATTTAAGAATTACGTGTTTCATGACGAAATTAGTTTATAAAACAGATAAGCTGAAATTTTGGGATACATACTGCCATACTGGCTTTATAGTAGTATTTCTTATGAAAAAAATTGGGGGTTGAGAAAAATAGATTAAAAGTTGAGCAATAGAGGTGCGCCAGGTTGTTCCATATTTTTTTTTTCAAAAAACAAAACGCTTGGGACCTCCACACACATAAAGCCTAGGAGTTGGACCGCCTACCATTGTTCTAGCTCCATATTTGTGTTCTACCTCAGTTTCAATTGTATAAATACACTAATTACTTAATTTTATATAAAATATATACAAATATATATAGGTAATTTTTTGGAGGTCCATGGGGTCCCGAGACCCCATGGGACCCTTAGTGGGTCCGCCACTGCATCTATGTCCATTTTTCACCAGCTTTATCCGAACTTGAACACATGCTCTTACAAAAAAGGAGTGAAAAAATAATAAGCGAAACTGACCGACAATACGACTGGAACGGACTAAAACTGGTTAACCTATTAATAGTCTGGTTTACTGTTTATACTTTTGGGTCAAAAAAATACCGAATCGAAACCGACCAGTAAAAACAGACCAAAGCGTGTTAAAACTGACTGAAGCCGATACAAACCGACCAAAATTGACTTTTTTTTGCGAGGAAAATTTGACGTAACTTGTGTGGTCTCATTCTTGGTTTCACCTATCCTAAAACCGATCGATTAAAAATCGAACAGATAAAATCGAAATTTGTGATGAATACAATAGTGGTCTGGATAAAAATGGCAACATTACATGAAAGCTCTTGAACCACGGCCTGCTTGTAATCTTAGGGCCTGTTTGGTAACAGCTGCATTGGCTGGAATGATTGAAAAGTCTGAAAAGACTGAATTTGCTGTACTGAAAGTGTTTGGTAATATGTTGGCTGAAATGGCTGATTGAGCGTAAAATTGCCATAAAGGGTATTAACTTATTTGTGTTAAATATATGGGTGTGAATTTTACTAGTAAACTACTTTTGCTTGATTAGATAATTATAAGACTACAAAAATAATTGATTACTTTGAAAATTTCATTCTTACTTTTACGTCGAATTTTATATTGTTTTATGCAATGACTTTCTAAACGATTTGTATTTTCGAATTATCGACATTAGCTATATATTTTGTGACTAATATGAGTAAATTAATTTAATAAACATACTTTTTCCAAAGGAAATCAGAAACACCACTGGGAAAAATGGAAAATGACCACTTCTTGAAATTCCTTCTTTGCAAATAACTTTTTATAGGTTAAAGAAGATGTGGAACGACAGAGTTATGGCCTCAGCTATGGAACGGGAGAGCTGTGGCCTCAACAAAGAAGATGTGTATTACATAAGATAAAAGGGTAAAGAAGTATATTTGGGTTTGAACAGTACATTAAATAATTTTTAGCTCAAAAAGTAACTTTATTGTTACTTTTTTGGCTGATAAGAAAAAACAGCCCAAACAACCCATTTGCTATGTGTTTGGCTATATTTTTGTATTTTCATGCTTTTCAGCCCAATTTTAGGGCTCCAAACGGCCCTGATGGAGTAATGGGACTAGGCCCAGAGCCTAATCAACCCAAGCCCCGAAGTTGGACTCGTGGATCCATGTCCACAACCTGGAGCCTGCCAGCTCAGCGGGGAGCCTGCCAGTCCGGGCGGCATCCCAACCCGGAAGAGTAACGGTCAAGCAATTAATGCGCTACTAATTATGTATTTAATTCCGTATTAATGTTGTAATTAATTAGTCATTATTATCGATAGCGGTTACGATTTGTATACGCCTATAAAAGACGGGTTGTAATTCATTTTAGAGGGGGCGATTTCTAGATGCTATTTCTAGCAACTAGATCTGCTAGTTACTTTCCATTCTCGTTCTTGCTTTCCTAATTCCTGCTTGAGTGTCGTACGTAGCTTTCCTAAAAGCTTACTAGCGTCATATTTTGGACCAACATGCCCCTTATTGTTAGAGAGTATATGGATCTTAACTATTCCAACTGTTTCAAAATAATCGTCACAATAAATTTTATCATAGTTTAAAATGGTTTGGTAAATGTACTCTATACTTCATGAAAAGGAGTTTTGTAATGCAGCTATATTTGGAGTAATTTTTTTTCCAGAAAAGGAAATTGTACAGCACAAATTAATTTTAAAAAGTCCAAAAGGAAAATTGAGAAAATTATATTGAAATAGATCAGATGAAGTATTTATTATAAATACTTGGAGTATAAGAATTCCACCCTTGATACTTTTGCACTGTAAAGATCAGATAAGAACATGTATCGGCAGTATGGGTCCTTACCAATTTAATGAGTCCCATAACACTATTATCATCTTCATGTTTGTCTCCAATAATTCCGAATAAAAGCAATCTGTTTGCTTTTACAGATTACAAAACCATCTTACAAGCAAGGCACTTCGTTTTCTGGGCATAATAAACTCTTATTGTACGGGCCAGATAAATTTTATTTAGGTAACTTCATTATGTTAGTAAATATAAATCAATTGTGTTGGATTTTCTTGAAATGATTTCCGTTATAATTTTCCTCATTAGTAATCAATTGGTGATTTGAAATTAATTAAATCGTCTCAATTTGATTAGATTATTAAAATTCTGATCGAAATTATTGAATTAACTAAATTATGAAAAATTAATTTAAAATTTAATTTATTAGCTAAAAAAAGAAAAACTACGTTAGAGATTTAAAATTGATAGCAAAGTACCGATTCAATTGGAGATCCAATGAAATAATGTGCTTGAGATAATAACTTTCCTACTTCCTCCATCCCTTAGTTAACTTTACCGTGAACATTTAGTAACATATTAATGTTTGACCATTCATATCTAAAAAAATACACTTATAAACTTATAATAAACTAACATTTTAATAATATATATTAAAATGAATCATCAAAAACTATTTTGGCATTATAAAATAATACCGGTTTTAACTAATTATCAATCAAAGTTAACAAAGTTTGACTCCAAAAGTCAAATTGTAATCTTAAATAACATGCCTTATTTTAACCTTTTCAAATGTGGTTCTTTAAACTATACATGTGACAAAACTAATTAAACACTTTCGCTTATCAATTTTTTCATTTTCAGTAATGCGATTATTGTAATAGTGACACTTAGTAACATATTTTGATTTAACCACCTTAAATGGTATAGTAAGCCAAACCTGTTAATATTCAAATAATCTAATGATCAAAGTAACACTACGAATCAAAAAACACAACACTCATAAAACAAAAATGCTGAAAAGCAAAAAACTTAAAAAAAGATATCCAAATTAAAACGTATAGTTGAGTAGTTTTTGAAAAAGAGAATGACACTTCATCTTTGAGGGATCCCAATACCGTCCGGACAGTTATAAATAACGAGTGAGGCTCTGATCTAGATATATACAGAGGTCCTTTGCATTTTTACATAGCAACTCTGATCGCAGTTGTTAAGATTTAAACCTCTTAATTACTTACACAGTTACGTACACCCCTATATACTAGTTGTACACCCCTATATACTAGTTGAGTTATGCTCATCGGCATCTACGTTAATACTTGGTAGTTTTTCGAGTCTTCGACTATAATCAAATGATTAAGTGAAAAATTTAAGGCCACTGAAAAGGTTAATGGACCAATTCAAATGATAATTAATGACCCATAATAAATTTATTCCTTTCGTAATCTGCTTTATTAAATTATTATTATTATTATTAATGATACTTCCATCATATCCTTCCCCGGCCACCTATATATCTACTAGTACTATATATATATCTTGCATGCATGCAGAGCTAAAACACTCTACTTAATTACAGAGTTGAACAAACCACGTACCACCTGGCGAAAAAGCTCCGATCGAAATGGACAAATCATCCGCCGCCGCAGCCGCCGCAGCAATGCCGGGCAGGAGGGTTCAGCCACTGGCCAGGCGGACCCCACAGCTGTTCTCACTCTCTGATGATCATGCCATGGTGAAGAAGATTCATGACACTCATAACCCAGGGGATGACCGTGACGTGGACGTCCACATCATTCTCCAAGTCATAGAGGAGATCTTTCAGCTGGCTTACCCCGCCGCCACCAATGGTGCTCCTCAGGTACACTCATCTATGCACATTGTCCTATGCTTTAATCTCTTCAAATTAAATAAAATTAAATTGCACCAAATAAGAGTAAACATGAGCAAATTAAGTGTTGTTTTAACAGTCATGAACTAGTCCTTCAATAAAACTGAGGATCGGAATAATTAACCAAATTAGGGAAACTTTGAATTTTAGTCCCGCGTTATTAGTCTCATAACTATACTTACTTGCATATTATGCTCTTCAATTAACTAATAAGTTGAGAGAGTATATATTAAGGACTTTTGGAGCGATACATGATGAACTTACGGGGTTAGAACTACAATTTTCTAAATAAATTCGTGACATCTATTTCAGCAAAGTACATATATAGATCTACTACTTTTTATCTGAATTGAATCAACTCATTTCATATGCTAAGCTAATTATAAGCCAAATCAAACAACTAATTAGTAATTAAACGAGCCAACGACCTCTCGATCATTCTCTACCACCATTCATCTGGTGTCAATTTTACAATATAACTTTACATAAATTGGACATAAGTAATATTCCGTACAATCTAATTAACAAGAATCTCGACCAATTCATTCTTGCGATAGAAAAAGGTTCCAACTAATTAAATTTTCTTCAAAGTCCTTTTTGCATTAATTAATACCCCGTATCATCTTTTAGCATTAATTAATATCGATATCAATTTTAATTAGTGTATATATATATATATATATATATATATATATATATATATATATATATATGACCCATGAATTAGTCCTATTTCTGTAATAAAAAACATATATGACAATCCTATTTTGGAATTTTGAAAATGTTTTAATCCTATTTCGGGAATTTTCCCAAAATTAATATTCGGGGAATTTTAATTACACAACTTTATACGATAGTATATATACACATAAATTTTAATTACACAACTTTATATATATGACCCATGAAATTAAAGCATACACGTGAGTCATTGAAAAGATTATGAAATTTTAATTACACAACTTTATACGATAGTATATATTTAATTTCGTTGTTATTTCAGGGCTCCCATTCACCTACCATCCAAGGAACTCAGCTAGAGGAGAAAGCTGCACTTGCGGTGGATGGAATTCTTGAAGGATTGTCGTTTATCACCCACAAAGTCTCCTGCGAGGTTAAAACCAAACTCTGATATACGTAGTGTATGTATATATATATCAATTTAATTAAGAATGTTACACTTTGAAAATTTCTTAAATAAAATGATATATGCTTTATTGGCTGCTTTTTTTTTTCATTTCACTTGTTCATCTAATGTTATACGTAGTAATAACTTAAATAGAAATTACTCCAAATAGGATTAAAACTATGACAAAAACTCAAAATAGGATTTACTATGTTTTTCTTTTCAAAATAGGACTATATTAGTCCTATTGGAAACATACCTATTTTTTCATTCCATTCTTACCCTTCCTTTAAATATGAGTTAATTAAATGTTTAATTCATAATAAATTCGAAAAAAAATTCAATAATTCATAGAAAAATAATTAAAAAATTTATGAAATATTTATAAAATAATTGTTTTTTAATTTTTTTTAAAATTAATAAAAAATAGTAAAACTCCATTAAAAAAAAAAAAAATACGGATGCCTTTTCCACCGCCTGTACTACCTCCCTGCACCACCATCTTCGGTCGTTGAAAAAAATGTCATTTTCTCTAAAAACTACCATTTTTTTTCTGAAAATGCAAAAAAATGGCATATTTTTCTTTGAGAATGCCAACATTTTCATTGTTTTCTGCCATAAATATGGCATTCGTAATGAACTTGGCATTTTTTCCCCTGGTGGCTGGAGGTGGTGGTGCAGAGGCGGTAGAGGCGGCGGTGAATTTTATTTTATTTTTTTGAGTTTTTTATTATTTTTATTTTTTGAATAAATAAATAAATTATTATTATCGAAATATTTTTATTTATTTTTTAGTATTTTTTACGAATTTCTATTTTTATTATTATTTTATTATGAATTAAAACATTTCAATAGCTATAAGGTTATATTTGTCCAACACACACATAATTAGTCTTAAGAAAACATAGTTTATTTTTTGGTCTTATTTGTGTAAAGTGAGTGACTTTTACTCCTATTTTGATAATTAACCCTAACTTAAATAATTAAGTAAAATAATTTTAAGAGAGAATTCCCTAAATAGGAGTAAAAAAGTTTTGAAATTCCAAAATAGCAGTATCATGTTTTTTATTCCTTGAATATGAGTAAATTTCTGCCAAGTTTGACATTACTAGGCTTTAAAACATGACATTTTTTCCCAAACTTTGCAGATTACTCCTATTAAGAGAATAAAAAACATGATACTCCTATTTTGGAATTTCAAAACGTTTTTGCTCCTATTTAGAGCAATTTCTATAACTTTAATTAATTTTAAACGGGTCACAACAATTTTGAACCATATTCTAAATAGCTTAAATAACTTGTTAAAATACAATTTTACTAAATATCGCCACTCTCATTTAAATACACTGGAGATTGTAGATTGGAAAAAAGAGCCAAATGATATACGTAGTACTTCGCAATTAGTTTGTTGATCTTTACGCTCATTCGTTAACGTTTTGTACAGTCCATTATGAAATTAATAAGGGAGAATTCCCTAAATAGGAGTAAAAAAGTTTTGCAATTCCAAAATAAGAGTATCATGTTTTTTATTCCTTGAATAAGAGTAAATTTCTGTCAAGTTTGACATTACTAGTTTTAAAACATGGCATTTTCTTCCAAACTCGGCAGATTACTCCTATTAAATGAATAAAAAACATGATACTCCTATTTTGGAATTTCAAAACATTTTTGCTCCTATTTAGAGCAATTTCTAAATTAATAAACCCGATTCCTCTAAAAATGTAAATGCTGTAAAATACTAGTATGATGGAAATTGGAATAGTAAAACAAAATTGCATTAAATATGACTAAAATGTAATCAAAGTGCACAAATTTGACTAGTAATATTTTATTCACAAAATATGACTCATTTTATCCAATTAAAAGTATAAGAATTGTTTTAAATAGGAGTAAACATAATTTGGAATTCCAAAATAACATTGCTATTTCACAAAGAAAAACATAACAATCCTATTTTAGAAATCCAAAACGTGATTATATACTCCTATTTGGGAAACTTAATTACTCTAACCGTTAAACTTTCCCCAATTAAGTGGGAAATAGTATTATTTTAAAAGGAAACAATAATGCTCATGTCTATGCACTTTATACTATGTATATTATTTAAAAGTGACAACTCCGGTACCTTTCTAAAAAACGGAGTATTGTACCTACTATTTATTTGATTGGACCACACCACTTTATCATTTTTAATTTAGATTTAAATAATTTAGCTGCTACATCCTCATTGGTCCATGTGGACAAAGGTATGTTATACGATAGAATCTACATTGTTTAAATCATATTTAAGGAATTTTCTGAATTGCATGATCATCGGCGTGCAGCTGTCATGCCGGTGCTCCGGAGGAGGGGACAACAACACAGCAACAATGGCGATACTGAACATGCTCTCCCACTACCAATGGGACGCCAAGGTGGTGCTATGCCTGGCCGCGTTCGCCATCACCTACGGCGAGTTCTGGCTGGTGGCTCAGCTCTTCCCCACCCACCCCCTCGCCAAGTCCGTCTCCATCCTCAAACAGGTGCCGGACATCGTGGAGCACGAGGCCGCGCTCAAGTCCCGCTTCGACGCCATCAACAACGTCATCATGGCCGTCATGGACGTCACCAGGCGCATCATGGATTTCAAGAAGCTACCGCCGCTGTACATCTCCGAAGACCAGCCGCCGCTCTCCGTCGCCAAAACTCACATTCCCACGGCGGTGTATTGGACCATCAAGAGTATTGTCGCTTGCTCAGCCCAGCTCACTAGCCTTCTTGGCATCAATTATGAGTGCGTACCCATACTATATACTCTCCCTCGCCAAAACTCACATGAGTAATTACTAACATGTTTTTGAAGTATCAAATTATAAACATGACGCACAATATTTTTCAAGTTTGACAGTAATTACTCTTATTTAGGAAATAAAAACATGTCAATCATATTTTAAAATCTTTAAACGTTTTTACTCCCAGGATGTTTTCTTTTGGACTGTTTTCAATCCAAGACCATATCACACAGACCATACGAGAACATACCAGACGTAAACAGACCAGACTTGAATAGTTATAAAATACATAGAGACCAAACATTTACCCGACCAAACCAGATTTAGACAAATCAAGTCGACCAGATCAGATCAGAGCAGACCATATCAGACCTGCAAAATCCAGTCCAAAGAAAAACCTCCCTATTTCGAGAGTTTTCCCTAAAAATAATGGATATATTCTTTTTTATCAATTTTCATTCAGATCATTTTTACATGTATATTTAATAGAAATTGAGATTTATAAAAGACAATTTCTATGGTACCTTGAAGGTATGGTTCCTTGATGATATGGACCAATAAAAAATTTTCAATTGAATAATTTAAATGCAAATAAAATGTAAAATTTTGAGTTGCACCAATGAAATTGATCCTAGGTATGATACCCTCCTATTTTTGTTGGGTACCATAGCAAGCACCTTTATAAAATAGGGCCAAACATGTTTTCTTATCTAAATATGATTAAAATCTGAATTATCTCTATAAAATAGGAATTAATGAGTATCATTTTGAGAATAAAAACAAAAAAAAACATCTGAATTATCTCTATATATACGTAGGAGATTGCTCGCTACAACTATGGAGACATGGGAAATCACGAGTACGACTCACAAGCTGGTTAACATTAGTGACCACCTTAAGGAACAATTGGCCATTTGCCATCAACATATTGGTGAGTCCACCTTTGAGCTTTCATCATTTTATGAATGGAAAATCACACGTTTAGTCCCTAAAATAATCACTAAATTGAATTGTCAGACCCATGTTACCTAATTTGTAAATGTCATCACTCAATTGTCCAAATTATTGTAAATATAATCTTTTGATGAGTGAAATGTACAATGTGGGCGAGAAGTACGTTTCACTTCTCAAAGGACCACATTTACAGCAATTTCGAAAATTGAGGGGTGATATTTACAATCTTAAAAATACGGGTCTGACATTTCAATATGATGACTATTTCAGAGACTAAAAGTGCGATTTTCCCTTTTATAAAAATAAAAATTACAGTACGTGTACTGTATTTATTACTTCGTATTTTCATATGTCATGTATGGATTTGAATGACTCATTTGCCCTAATTTTCTTTTTGTAGGGTAAAAATGAGTCTTGTATACGTAGTATTATATCCCTATCTTGTGCAAAATATAAAATTGAAATAGTTTATAATTCCCTTTAATTTTACATACGTAGTATTAGGAGTAAATAAATAACTTATTTGTTTCCCAAAAAGTAAGAACAATAATGTCCCTATTTGATGAAAAGTTCAATTCTCTTCATGAATTTTTAATTTCTAACAAAATTATTAAAAAAAAGTATTAGGATAGAAGAATCGTTGATAGCTCTTTACTACTCCCTCCGCCCCCTATAATTGTTCATTTTCCCATTTTTGGATGTCTCACTATTATTATCTCATAGTATATTTGATAACATTTGTGTGACTCTAATTCATTCTTACTTAATTTCCACTTTATCAACTCATTATAAACTACATAATTATGCTTTTCTTAAAAACTCCATCATTCCCTCCCGTCCCGATATTAGGGGGACGGAGGTAGTATCGCTTATTAGTAATATATATACTTATATTGAAATTGGATGCAGATGAGAAAATGCACATCGAATATTACAAAATGCTTGTGCACCTCTTTGAGATAAGCCATTTCGACAATATGAAGATCCTCAAAGCCTTGATCTACAACAAAGATGACATACTTCCTCTTGAGGTTGGAACTACTCACACCAGGGTAAGTAGTTAAGTACACTTTCTTACCATAAACACTAATACTCTCTACCTTATTTAGTTTCTTTGTTTGGCTAAGGGAGCACTAAGCAACAACTTTTAGTTATCTAATCTTTATTAAAGTGACTTGAATACCAAACTCTGGCATGATGGACATTATTATATATATGTAGAATTATTATTGAAACATTTCTGACACCGATAAAATATGAAGTAATAAAAGTATTATGATACACAGGCAAGCATGGAAGTGTTGAGGAGGAAGACAGTATTGCTTTTACTAAGTGATCTAGACGTGTCGCCCGAAGAATTGAGTACGCTAGCTAGTATGTACGAGGAAGCGAAGACAAAACCAGAGCTCCAGTACGAAATCGTGTGGTTGCCGATTCTCGAGAGAACGAATGGGGGGTGGAACAAGGAAATGGATGCAAAGTTCAAGGAGCTTCAGGCTATGATGCCGTGGTACACCGTGCACCACCCTGCCCTCGTGGAACCAGCGGTGGTCAAGTTCGTCAAGGAAAAATGGCGTTTCGTGAAGAAGATGGTGCTGGTGACTCTGGATCCAATTCAAGGCAAAGTTGCATCCCAGAATGCCCTTCACATGATATGGATTTGGGGAAACCTGTCATATCCATTCACCACTGCCAAAGAGGAATCCATGTGGTCCATTGAGACTTGGAGGGTTGAGCTTATTGTTGATGGACTTGATCAAACTGCAGTTGATTGGGTAAAGCTAGCTTAGCTTACCTTGCTCAATATTATGACTCCTAATACTGTACACTTGATGAAATTTTGGTTGAAGGACCGTCGGATTATGAAAAGATTATATTCAAATTAAAATAGGTTATATTTTATTAGTAAAATCGAGAAAAATTACAGGTAGTATGAAAGTATAGCTTAAACAGTCGTTTTCAATAATTTCAGTTAGAAAAAAGCAATCTCAACTTTACTTTTTTTATTATCCCACGATTGAAAGCGCGAAATAAAAAGTAATCTCATGAGCTGAATATAGGGTATCCAATTAATTCCCTGTTGGTTCCTTCTGAGATTAAATAAGAATGTAATCTGGTAAGATAAAAGAGGATTAATCCGATGTATATATGCAGGCGGAGCAGGAGAAGTACGTATGTTTGTACGGAGGAGATAACATAGAGTGGATAAGAGGATTCACCCAACTGATGAATGGCGTGGCACAACAAGCGGGGATTGATTTGTACATGGTGTACGTGGGGAAGAGCAATTCCAAAGAGCGCGTGAGGAAGATCACTGACACAATAATGAAAGAAGAGCTAAGCAACTGTTGGCCCGAGCCATACTCGGTCTGGCACTTCTGGACTCGCATACACAGCATGCTCTACTCCAAACTTCATATTGGCAACAAGCATGGAACCGACACGATCGCGTCAGAAGTGATGACACTGATGGGGTACGATGGGAGTGACCAGGGCTGGGCTCTCATGAGCCGGGGCCCGTTCCAAATGGCGCGAGCCAAGAGCGAGGTCCTCCTCGTCACGCTCAACAAGTACCCGGAGTGGGAGCCTGAGGCGAAGCAGAATGGGTTCATTGAGACCATCACAAGCTATTTCTCCAAGCTCCACACCCCGCAGCACTGCAATAAGCTCATACTGCCCGGGATCGCTGGCGAGATCCCGGACGTGATGGTCTGCGCTGACTGCGGTCGCTATATGGAGAAGTTGTTCATGTACCGCTGCTGCCCTAATTAACTGATCCTACATGAGCCCGGACAAACATGCACGCAGGATTGCATGTGTTTATCAATTTTATTTGGTAATGATTTCTTTAGGCCAGTATGTCTAGCTTGTTTTCAAGCTAAGCTTGCCTCAAAGATGTGTGTCAGTTGTGTTGTTTGTGATCTTTGTAAGCTCAAAAGTGTGTGTGAGCTATGTATTATATACACATGTCTTGCTAGGTAGGGTTCCTTGTTGGTTGAGCTCTCTAGATAGCTAGACAAGTACTAGATGGATGCATATTGTGTTTTGTATCTCTGTGTTCTAAATATAATGAATCAATTTGGAAGGGCTATAATTCAGGTGTAACAAAAAAGTTTAGATGAGATTGGAAAATTTAATATCAGATATGTTAGGTGTCCCAAGAAAAATAAGTACAAGGTGCAATTTTCCGTAAAAGTGCAAAAGTTCCTATGACTAATTTTATATGTCTATGTTAAGTCATAACTTAATCACTTAGTACCAAATTCAAAGTAAATTTTCTATGATATGTCTAATTAGTATCACATCAGAGCTACAAATGTGCACCTCTTTTGGTCTCTGTTAATTACAATATTTTTTTTTGCCATCACATGCCACTACAAAAGAGTGTAACACCGACCAACTTTGCAACAGATTTGAATGAAATAGTCATTGAAAACCATATTTCCAACGAAATACCGACACAATTTGGCCGTTGAAATACACTGGTTTGGAAATAATTCCAACGACCGTTCCTAAAAATTTCCACGGGATTTCCAACGAATATATCTGTCAGAAGATTCCAACCCACAAAAGCATCGGAAATGTCCATTCCATTATTACCAGACAGATTTCCAACCGATTAATCGGTTGGAACTTTTATAAAAATAAATAAACCGGTAGGTTCCCAATGGATTTTTATGACACACACTGACACACTGCTATACTATTAGTGTCACTAAATTCTTTTCTTTTTTGTTATTTGCAGTTCAATCTCCTATTTTAACATTCTAAAAAGTCACCACCAACAAATTATACAATATATACAACTCAACTTCAGAACATGCCATAAAATAGCAGTATTCAAGGTTCTTGTAACACAAACAGTTAACATATAATACAAAAGTTTGACAACTAAAGCAAATTGTTCATTACGCCACAACTAAAAACACTCAATTAATTGCAAACACTCAATTGAAAATATATTATTCAAAAAGGTGTCACCTGGAGATGTGTATTACAGTTTTGAAGGGTCGGAACAAATTCAAATGGAACTTGAGAAGACATGGGTGGTTGAAGTGGCACAGATTGTTGTCCCGGCATGTAGCCATTCGGGTACATTGTTGAATAATAAGGGGCCGATTGTGAGTGCAAATTGTGAGTCACCCCTGATGGAACCGTAGGAAACATGGATGTATGAAGGGTTGTTGGAACGGTTGTTCAAACCATTAGTGGAATCCATCCCTGCATCACCGTCAGTTGTTCCAATTATCGACGATTTAAAAACATTCAAATCATCGACTTTCACATAATGTGTTTGTCTAGTCGATGCATGTCGACGTGACATCTAAGGAACCATTGCGAACAAATGTTGCAGTATTAGGATCCAACCCAAATATTTTACTCCCTCCGTCCCTAATTGTTCTTCCATAGTACAAATGGCACACTGATTAAGAAAGTGAGTATTGTGTGGTGGGGAGTTGTGCAGAAGAGAGAGAAATGTGTATCAAATGTTGTGAAATACAAATTCTTTACCAAAAAGGGAAAGTGAAAGTTTTATTGCGACAGACGGAAAAGGAAAGTTGGAAGTTTTTTCAGCGATGGAGGGAGTACCTTTTTTGGAAATACAATTTAAAAAAAAAATACATTTTCATCCACTTTTATTCTCTCTTCAGAGTCTTGGGTTTGACGATCTATCTTTGCTGCAACTTTTTCCTAATTGAGATAACAAATTTAATAAGTACTAAATTAAATAAATTGAAAATAATTTCAATTGTCAATGTAACTAGAAAATAATGTAACTATTTTTATAATGGATAATAAATAAATATACTTAAAATTAAATTAAATAATTCACTTGTAAATAATAAAATAAGTGTCAAAGCTAATTATAAAATAATATTCCGCAAGACATATAATCTAAGAAAAATGTACTCCCTCCGTCCCAAATTGTTTTGCAAAGTCAACATTTTTTGGTCAACCAATAAAAAAAGTCAATGCTCTCTATCGATAATTAATTCAATTTTTAATAATTAAAATTTATATATTCAGAAACTACATTAAAATCTCTTCAAAGTTGTAAACTTCAAATTAGAATATAATTAAAAATTGACATCCTAATTAAGAAAATAATTACCAAGAAATGTCAAATTTGCAAATCAATTTGGGACGGAGGTAGTATATAATTACTCATGCATTCAAACAGAAAATGTGCAAAACAGTAAAGATAAAACTATACCGCAATCTCATGAGCTTGTGGACCACTCCATTCATTAGTTCATTTTTTATGGAACTCATCTTTGAGAATCTTAGTATGTAGCAACCGGTTTCCTCCCCAATTACGCAGCCTATTTAAAAATATATAATCAATAACTCAGTCCATAGTAATTAATTTAAAATATATACTACCGTACAAGGAAAAACTTACTAATCGTTCGGTTCTGACTTTTTGAGAAACAGACCCCCAACAATATATATTGCGAGCTTCTACATGAATCCGAAGAGCTATTTGTTTTGTTTATTTCTGACTTCTTCTGAAACTTTTCAGACTCCCATTGCACATGCATGTCCCACTAATGTTCTTCAAATATCCATTGGATCTGTTTTTTCTTATTTTGGACTTCGTTAGACACACTCTTCAACTAGACTGAACATCTAGAGTTAAAAGCACGTTGGGTTTCAGATTCTTCAGTCGAGGGATATGTGCGGCTCCGCTACATAAAACATATATTAATACTATACATAATCAAAGTAAACAACCAAACACAAATGACACATACACAAATTTGATACACTTGGATTTAATTTATCTTGAACACCTTAAACCATGACTCCAGAACGTCCTTTGGTACATCTCTGTAAAATAATTCATGGTCTCCTACAATCATTTAACATAAAAATATTAATATACTAATGAATTATATTTTGTGTTCATGAAAGTCAAAAGTATTACTTGTGTAATATCAAACTATTATCTCGAAAATTCATCACTAGTCAATTGATATCGGTGTTCGAACTACACTGGAAGACCCTTCACCACCGTAAGATCCAAATGCAGAGGCAACTGATTCATGTTGGCCTTCATGAGTTAATGACCAACTTTCGTTCATGCATTGTACAAAAGTTTGACCACTAATATAATTAATTTTGTATTAGTAAAAACATACAAAAATAGATTTTGAGAATTTACAAAGAAAAAAAGATAATAAAATAAATTAATAATTTTTTACTTTATACATTAATAAATAAAATGTAGTCAAAGTTGAACATGTGGTTATAAACAAACAGAAAATACCATACCACCATTTATATATTTTATGGCATTAAACATAACCTAACTTTGAAGTTTATGCATTAAACATAACCTAAAGTGGTAATATATCGACGCATTATAATTCTCTTACAGTTTTATGCATTGGCAGATCTAGGGAACAACATAGGCACGACCTCACCCCAAATTCTAAAAATGCCTTAATTATTAATGGTATTCTATTTGTTTATCTAATTTCTTTGTACCGGCCCAGTGTCCTGACTACTCTTCTGTGTATATGAATGATCTAGATGGTTTTAGTCACTCTCGTATCATGAGAGCAATATATCTATTGGTCACTTGTTAAAATAGATTTTATTTGGAAGTCAGAAAATAACGATTGAGAAAAACAAGAATTTCATTGATCTAGTCTTGTGTTGATCGAGACATCCCTTGATAAAGGGGGGATTAATGATTGGCATCATAAATCATGATATAGGTTATGGGATTATTTATAGTTTATACATTTATATAACTTGGGTAGTCATACTGCTTCTAGAGACCATTTGTATAAACATCTATTTAATATACTACAGATAAGAAAGGAGATATCTCATAAAAACACTATTTTGCCCCATAAATATGCCACACGTATGCCTTCCCATGTTTCACTCCATTGCTCTAAGTAAGCCACATGGCTTGCTATTTTGAAGTGAAATGAATTCACAACGTATGGTAGAGCAAAAATTGGCAGCAATGGGGTGTATGCCGCTTTTCCTAATAATAATAATTCTAAAAGAATCAAATCAATCATACCCCATACTACGATTCCATGAGTCTGCAATTTGTGTTTTCCAATTCTAATAAATGCAACTGCCATAATTTTATTGTTACTTGTGGTTCTAAGGTTTTATTTTTTGTTATTAATTACTCCATACAAATTTTGAGCCTTATGATTAAAAAAATTATACACCAACAATTTTAACATTCTATTTGTGCAAATATTTTTCACGAAGGGATAGTAAACTTACCTGGATTCTTGAGCTTCTTGGGCATCTCTTTCAGCACCTTTGCTGAGTACTCCTCATTAAGCACCACTGTTGCTGGTTCCTGCAACTCTTACTTGTTCGCTAAAATTTCTTTCATAAACATGGCATACTTTGGCATTTGTCATAGTGCCTCCATGAATGGTAGCTTAATTTGAACTTGTTTTATGAGGTTCAAAAACTTATCATTCTGACCACTATCACTCTTTCTCTTCAAGCGTTCCAGAAAGGTGAAAGGTGGACAGTAAATTTTGATCGAAACGCACTTTTTTGTGGCTGTATCCACCTCTCTCTTCTCTTCTTTTTCTTCCTCGGGGTTTGCTTCTTTGGACTCAATGTTGCAGGCTTCTTTGTTTGTGTAATTGGCTCAAGCTCCCTTCCACTCCTCAGTCTGATCGCGTGAACATACTCTCTTTGATTATTTTTAGTATCGCTAAGCAGTGATCCGTTAGGAATCTCAAATTGGGCTTTTGAAACCTGGCCCACTTTATTCTCTAGCTTTTGAAAACTTGTTGTAGTTGTTTGCATGAACTTCCTGAGTGTCTTTCCAAGTTGATATGTGCTTTCTCCCATTCAGGCATCTCCTAATGTGCTTGGGGCTGAGGGATCTGGGTCTGCCCAAATTGATTGTAGCTCTTCCACTGCTGCTGGTTCTCATGCCCATAATACTCCCATTGCTGCTGATTGTAAGGTTGATTGTAATAACCTTGTCTTTTAAAATTTATGGCATCTATATTAGCTACTTGCTCGACTCTAGGGGTTGTCGAGGTGTTGGCCATCATATTACATTGATTCATCCAATTGAGGCCTCCAAACGTACTGCAAGATGGACTAATAGGTCCAGAGCTAGGCCACCATATTCACACTAAACATAAAGGAAACAAGTT